GGGGGGGGGGCAGTCAGGAAGGAGGGGTTCTGGGGGCAGTCAGGGGACAGGGAGAAGGGGTGGTTGGATGGGGCAGGAGTCCCGCGGGGGCCGTCAGGAATGAGAGGAGGGATTGGATGGGGCGGCGGGGATCCAGGGGCGGTCAAGGGACAGGGAGCGGGGTGTGTGGATGGGGCAGGGGTCCCGGGGAGCCCATCAGGGACCAGGGGGGCTTGGATGGGGCAGGAGTCCCGGGGGGGGGGTGTCAGATGGGAGGTGGGGGCCGGGCCACGACCCCCTCCCCTAACTGCCCTCCATACAATTTATGAAACCCGATGCGGCCCTCAGGCCAAAAAGTTTACCGGCCCCAGCATTAGCAGAACAAGGCACCCCCTGCTGGCTGTAGTATGTGCATCCTTTCCCCCCCCCCCCCCCGCCCGGCCGTGGCACAGGTAGCTTTAGGGGGTGGGCTCCTGCTGGGAGGGGGACCACTCCCATCACTTAATTGGCTCCCCCAGGAAAGGGCTGATGGAGGAGGAGAGGAGTGACCAGATGGGGGGTTGATGGTGCCGTGGGTGAGAGCTCCCCCTGGAGAAAGGGCAGGGGATTAGGAAATCTGGCCTAGCCGTGCAGCGCAGGTGAAGGGGATAATGAACCTCACGGAGGTGCTAACCAACCCAAGGCTGTTTGAGAGGGATCTCAGGACAGGAGAGGCGCCTGCCCTGCTAACCTCTGGCCGCTGAGTGCTCCCTCCTACCTTGTTTCCAGCTGAAGCGCGAGCGGCCCAGGATCCAGAACTCGTGGTTGTCAAAATGGATCTCGCCCCGGGGCGGCAGGAAGGCATGGGCCAGCTCCCCGTTCAGCCCATCGAAGCAGGGGTGTCGCGGGGAGAACCAGCAGTCAGTGTGGTTAAAGCTGTAGAAGCCTGCCCAAGAACAACCAGAAAGACGTCCTGGAAGCAGAGGGCATGTGAATCCCAGGGCAAAGGTACCAAAGGTGGGGGAGTGAGTCTGCTGGTGGCTGGGAGCAGGAATCCCAGCTCTGGAACTTGCTGGAGAGGGCGAGGTGTGATTGGATCTGCTAAATCTGCCTGTGACAGCCCCTCTTTGGTGCCAGGTGTGCGCTGGCCAGGGCCTGTGGGCTTGCATGGATGCTCTGCTGGGGCTGGGTCCGGCAGCAGGGAAGGAGTGAACGGGGGTGGCACATGGTCTCAAAGCCCTTGAGATGGCTCCCCGACCCCCAGAGGCAACCCCAGAGCCATCTGCACAAACGGGAGGAAGGAAGCGGGGAGAGGAGATCGGAGGGCTGAGAAGAGGCAGGGAGAGCACCAGCGAGGGAGACAGGGGTGCTGTGCCAATGGCACTCCTAGCCCCTCATTTCTACCTATGGTGATGTCAGCTGGCTGGGCAGGGGGCAGGCGCCGGAAGCTGAGGGGCGAGACGTCGCTCCACACGCGGAAGGCAGCGGCAATGGCTCTCTCTGTGTCACCTTTGTTCAGCGTGCTGGGGAACTGCACGATCCTGCAGCAGGAGGAGGGGAGGGTGACCCATGGGCACCAGCTGCTCCTCCAGCCTCTACTACTGTAGCCAGGGCTGCTGTAGGGAAGGGGCAGGAGTGCAGGATGCCCTCAGCTACTCCAGCCCCAGCCTCTCCCACCAGGGGGTGCTGTAGGGAGCAAGGCAGGAGCACTGGCTGTGGTGGAGGAGGTCCCAGCTGAGCCAAACCCAGCCTCTCCCAGTAGGGGGCGCTGTGCAGGGTGGGGCAGGAGC